GTAGCACTGCTTTGAATTTTCTTTACATTAATCTGATCACACTGCATGGATTATTCTGCATGTTGTTTTATCACTGAAAACGAGATGCAGATATTTTCATGTCAATGCACATTGCTGCCCATGGCTCCACCACACCCTCATTGAGAGAGACAGGTATGTAGTATTCAAGGGCAGCTGAGCTAGACCCACACCATGTGAGTTCAAATCCTTCCCCTGCACCCACTAGCTGTATGACCTTGGGCAAGTTACTTTTATTTTCTGAATTATAACTGCCCAGACTGGAAGATGCAGATAATAACAGAACCTACCTCACAGAGCTGTTGTGAGGATTAAAGTACTTAACATATGTAAAGAATTTAGAGTCATGAATGGCACAGAACATGTAATCCACACACCTAAGCCACTGAAACTTCTTTGTAGGATAACCAGCCATTCCTCCATTGAGGGACACCAAGGGTAGCACTGAATTCCTGCTATTCTCAGCAATGCGACAAATCACAACACATGTACACATGCACACATGTGGGTGTTTGTCCAGAGAAGATAGCAAGAAGCAGAATTTCTAAGTCAAAGGGCTACACATTTTATATTTAATTAGATATCGTTAAGTTGCCTAAGTGTCTGTTCCAATACTATCTGATGTATTCAACAGTATCTGATGACATTAATTCTACTTATTCTAAAGTTCTGCTCGCTCTATTAACTTTATTTCCTGGGATGTAAATTCTGTAGAACGATATTTTAAATACATCATCTCTTTTCCACAGCTGGGCTTTGGTCACATTTTTAATGAGATTTGATTACACCTTGTAGTCAAGATTTTATGTTAGGGTCCTCATTTTATCAGTTTTCACAGCCTGCTTGGAGAGTGTAATAAGGGTCACTAAATGTTGGGTTTGTACTCTTAGCTTTCAGGGGCCTGGAGAAGGGTGGGCTCTGCCGTGGGCAGAGTAACGAACTTAGTCCCATGATTAGGTGCCCACCATCCCTCCAGGGCATCATGGCTTCCAAGAATGCCACTTGGTCTCTTCAAATCCAGCACCCCACTCTCTGGAAGCAGAGGCCTCCATCCTTGGGGGTAGGGGGAGGGTGGCAGGCAGGGAGACGTGCTGTGATGAGCCCTCCTCACTGTGCTCCAGGGATCTCCCTGAGGTTTCCCGGAGTCCTTCCTGCCCGGGGCATTTACACAATCTACTCAGGAAGCACTCAGCCGCCCCCCCCGTTGCTGCAGCATCACCTGTGGGTGTTATGGGGTGCACAGTCCCAGCCTTCCTCCGCCCCAGAGCTTCCTTTTCTCGGGAATTCCTCACTAGCCCTGGGTCAAGGAGGGCTTTCCTTCTTTCCAGTATGATTATCAGTTAAAAACATCTTTCCAATGATTCCTATGGTTTGGGGCTTGGGCGTGAAGAGGGAAAGGTGTTGTTTCTGGAAAATGAACAAGTTGAAGTGGGAGTGTTCATCTCCTGGACTGGTATGTGCATCAACACTGCTCTACAGGAAAAATCCAGAGGCTTTAGCATCAAGGTAAATCGTCAGCAAACCACATTCCCCAGCAGTTCTTGGCCACCCATGGGAACCACCAGCATTTCCCCGGGCACCAACCTTTCTTTTTATATTTTTTGGGGACAATCAGACCCAGAATTGAAGGAGGAGGTAGAGAAAGGGGGGGGGGAGAATCGTTATTAAGAGTATACCGGTGAAAACAACCCCACCCTCCCCCAAGGTGATTCCCTAGGAAGCAGCAGCTGGGTGAGGCAGCTCACCTCCCTGCAGGAACTTCATGGGGTAGACGATGGCATGGTATCTGTCTATGCTGAGGGACACCAGGACGTAGGTGGAGGCGTAGAGCAGCACAACCTGTGGAATGACAGAAATGACAGGAGCTGTGTGACCACCGAGGCGAGGGAAGGCACGCGGTGGGAAGAGGAGTGTTCTGTACTGTTTGGAAATCTGGGCGCTGAACGCAGGGAGGGATGAGTTGGGGTAGGGAGAGGAAGACTGGCTTCCGTTCTCGGAGGCGCATTGCTGTTCTTGACGCCGGACGTCGCGTGGCTAGTGGTGACGGCTGACAGTGCTCCCAGCCCACACTGGCTCACTCATTCGCTTGGCTTCGTGGAGACTCCACATTTCAGAGTCAGTCCCTCTTTGGACATCTGCATGGTCCATTTGTTGGTGATTGACTTTTAAAGCCAAATCTAATTTTCTCTGTCACAGTGGACATTCTGGAATAATTAGATACGAAAAGTTCATTTGCCTTTTATCTGCGGGAGTTGTTGAGAGACGACAGAAGGGCTTTGGCTGAAATGCGCTGGTTTAAATCCCTTAGCATCATCTGAGCTGACACTCGGGGCTCCCCTTCCTCATCTACTTCTCCAGCAGAGCTGTTTCCCGCGGTAGGGCCTTGGGTCTCTTCTTCCCCTCCCCTCCCTCCCCTTTTATTAACCTCACTCCTGCCCTTAATTATCCTGTGTACACTGTTATTTGCATACTCTGCAGAGAAGGAAATTGGGACATAAGACCTTAATATCTCTTATGTGAAGAGCATACTCAAAAATGTAATTAAATGAAATAGCTCTGGCAGGATGATCAGGGTGAAAAACTGTCAGCTAACTTTGAGCCTCATTTCTACTAGGAGTCCAGCCACATCTCTGCTTCACAACCTTCGGGTCAAATCCAGAGCGTGTAGAAGAGAAACAAGGAGACTGACGCCGAGGGGTGAGTGTCTGAGTCTTTCTAAAATGAAATAGAAGTAACATGACTCTGGCAATAACCTCTGTCTGAATCTGTACCATTTTGTTTTTCCCCTGGATCAAACAAATACCAAGCAACTCCATTGCTGTGCTTTATTATTTGTATTTCTATAACACCACCACAAGGCATCTCAGCACCAATATGTCGGAAGGTGTCTCAGGGAGGGGGTTCTGAGGACTGATCAGAGATTGACGGCTCCGTGAGGAATATAAGGAGAAATTCTCTTCTTGCTAAGAAGGTGATATAGGGACAGAAAGAAAAATGATGGCTGAGCTTAACCAAAAAAATCAGACAACCGCCCGACCGGTGTGGCTCAGTGGTTGAGGGCTGACCCAGGAACCAGGAGGTCAAGGTTCGGTTCCTGGTCAGGGCACAGGCCTGGGTTTTGAGCTCCATCCCCAGCAGGGGGCGCGCAGGAGGTAGCTGTTCAATAATGTTTTTCTCTCATCCATGTTTCTCTCTCTCTCTCTCTCTCTCCCTCCCCCTCTCTCTAAAAATCAATAAAAACACATTTTTTTAAAAGTCAGACAACTGTCTCCCCAGAGAAAGTTGGGATTTCTATGTGTGGCCCATGAATTCATAATTGTTAGGGCTGGCCGCGCACAGTTGAGGAGGGGACATCAGAGGGGATGGGAAAGGGAGCTCCTGAGGGCAAAACTCTAGGAGGTAGATGTCCCACAACGAGGAGGTGAGGTCGTGAGTCTCGGGCACAGGAGACTGCTGAGTGAGGGGCTGACACCAGCTCCAGTTGGAGCAGGAAGGAAGATGATGCTAACTAGTGCCCGGAGAACAGGCCGCCTTAGCCAAAAGGGAGCTACTTTGAGACACCGTCAAAAACGGTATTTAATTTCAGGGCTCTTAAAACATCCAGGCAGGGTAAAAAACCATTAAAGGTTACCTTTAAATAAAATGCACCTCAAATTGTCATGCTTTTCTCCACAAACTAAATGGAAAACAGTATAAAAACATGTTGTTCAGAGTTTCGAAAGGAAAATTATGATCCAAGGATTTTATAAATATGTTTTTATGAAATTATTCTTAGCACAGAATTATTCTTAGCTATACAAGAAGGAGAAACTAAAACATCACGCCCTCTTCCAGAAAAATCTTTTTGAGGAAACGTTTCTGCCGATGGGGAATTGCTTTTCCTTCTGAAAAAGAAGGAAGGGGACTGAATAATAATGGCCCCGGTAAGCAACGAGCCAGAAAAACACAACGTTTGCAAATAACAGTGAATATAGTTTCGAGCTATTTCAGAAAAAAAATCTGGGGAGTTGAGTGAGAGGAGAGAGGAGAGGCAGGAAGTCATGTTACATTTCCATTTAGACATTCAGACATCCCTTTTGCTTTTTACTTTGATAGAGATGTATTAAATTTAAAATTAAAGATAAGCTATCATAGAGTGAAATAAAAATGGAGAAAAAAAATCTTCTTAGTTTCCTATGGATACTATAACAAATCACCACAAACTTTGTGGCTTAAACCCACATAAATTTATTCTCTTGCATTTTTGGGGACCAGAAGTTCAAAATCAGTGACAGGGGGTCAAAATCAAGGTGCTCGCAGGACTATGCTTGCTCTAGGGGAGCACTGGTACCTTGCCTTTTCTGGCTGCAGGTGGCCACCAGCGTTCTCTGACTTGTGGCCACACCCATCCCTCCTCTGAGTCCATGGTTACATGTCCCTCTGCCTCCCTCTTCTAAGGATATAAGTGATTGTATTTGGATTCACCAGGATAAAGCAGAATAATCTCCCTGTTTCAGGGTCCTTATCTTAATCACATCTGAAAAGTCCCTTTTTTTTGCCATCTAAGGTAACATGCTTAGGTTTCAGAGGTATTTGGATATCTTTTGGGGGCCACTTTTCAGTCTACCACAATTAATAACCTAATAGAGAGGAAAACACAAGTAAATAGGATAAAAGTTTAACACGGAAAGATTAAAATGAGGTGGCTGAAATAACACCAAACACCACTTGTCGCAAGCAATAGAAATGGCTTGAGCTCCTTCACTAAAACATGGACTGTTTACAGAATTGTTCCCCCAAATCTAACTGTATCCTGTTTCGAAGAGAAATCTCTAAAACCAAATGATTGTCAAAGTTTACAAATGGAGTGATGGCCAAAGGTAGGTCAAGCAACTAAAAACTAGGCGGAGGCATTCGTTGCAGTGCTACCTTTAGACTAATTAAGGCTAACAGCACTGCATGGGATAAAGGAATGATCTATATTAATAAAAGATACAATACTTCATGGCAAGAGAATATTAATAAGCTAATATGAAACAAGTAACATAACACTAAATATAAACTACTGAAGTGTCCAGAGCTTTACAGAAGAAAAAAACACAATAACACATAGATAACGAACTTTAAGAATAATGAACTTTAAGAATAGAACACATTATTGTAATCATAAACGAAACTGAAAAAAAAACCCTCAATAGATTCCAAAACGTGGAACTTGTGGCAATTTACATATTTAAAACAAGCAGCAAAAGCTGAAATTAGTAGTATGTATTTTTAATACCACTTAGAAATTTAAATGCCCTTATAATTAACTTGAGTCAAGAAGGAAATCAAAGTACAATTATAGTCGATTCATAAATGTCAACAAAGAAAATTCTACACATCAACAACATATGGGCTACCATTTGGAGAACAGAAGGCAGTTTGAGGACATATGTTCGAATTCTCACTATCCCACCCCTCAATTCTGACAAGAATGACCTAGGAAATATGAAACCAAATAAAATCTTGTGGAGATGTGAAACTTAGGGAAAATTTAGAGAAATTTTATTTTTTAAATTGCCAGACTGGATTGATTTAAAGGAAGAGGATCCCTGGACTGACTTTAAAAAATTTAATGTACTTTATTTTTGTAGAACAATTTTAGATTTATGGAAAAAATTGAGCAGGTAGTACAGAAAGTTTCCATATTAAGCCCCACCCCTCCCCTTATTTATTAACATCTTACATTTGTGTGGTCCATTTTTTAAAGCTGGTGAACCAATATTGACACATTATTATTAACTAAAGTCCATGGTTTATATTAAGGTTCATTCTTGGTGTACATTCTTGGTTTGACAAAAGCATAATGTCCTGTGTCCACCATTACAGCATCATACAGAAAAGTTTCACTGGCCTAAAAATCCNACTGGGTTTGACAAAAGCATATTGTCCTGTGTCCACCATTACAGCATCATACAGAAAAGTTTCACTGGCCTAAAAATCCCCCAGGCTTTTTACTTTATTCAGTGCCTCCAAATCCCTGGCAACCTCTGATCTTTTTTACTGTCTCCATAGTTTTGCCTTTTACAGAATGTCGAGTAATTGTAATCACACAGTATGTAGCCTTTTCTGATTGGCTCCTTTTGCTTAGCAGTGTGCATTTAAGATTTCTCCATGACTTTTCATGTCTTAATAAGCTCATTTTTTATTGCCGAATAATATTTCATTATATGCATATACCATAGTCTATTTATGCTCTATTTTTTGTGTGTGTGGCTTGATAGTTCCTTTTGTTTTATCACTGAATAATATTTTATCACATGGATGAACCAAAGTTTATTTACCCATTCAGCTTCTGATGAACATCTTGCTTCCAGTTTTTGCCAATTATGAATAACACTGCTGTAAAGATTCTTGTGTAGGTTTCTGTGTGGACATAAGTTGTCAATTCAATTGGGTAAATACCTAGAAAAGCAATTGCTAGATAGTATGGTAAGAGTATATTCAATTTTATAAGGAAATGCCAAACTATCTTCCAAAGTGGCTGTACCATTTGCATTCCCATAAGGAATGAAAGACTTCCTGTTACATTCTCTCTAGTATTTCATGTGATCAGTTTTTTTGGTTTTTGGCCATTCTAGGCATGTAGTGGTATTTCACTGTCATTCTAATGTGCAGTTCCCTAATGTTGTATATGTAGATAGATGCCCATTGACTCCAGCAGCATTTCTTCAACAGGTCCTATCCTTTCTCCATTGCACTGACTTTGTTCCTTTGNTCAAAGTGGCTGTACCATTTGCATTCCCATAAGGAATGAAAGACTTTCTGTTACATTCTCTCTAGTATTTCATGTGATCAGTTTTTTGGTTTTTGGCCAT